AGTATTAACTAATGAATAAATACATTAAAATGTAATAATAGTAGCATTATAATATATATGAAGATCCTACTGTGGAAAATGTGTTAACAAGTATTTAATCTCCTCAATATAAAACATATATTTCAGCTCATCTATAGGCTCATGTATACGTTCTAAAGTAATTTCATTTTCTATCAATAGATCTACATAATCATCGATATTACCACTGAATTCTCTTGCAATATTTTGCAATTTCAATACATTTTCAATTGAGTTTTCGAAGTAATTTTGATTTGATCCATTATTGTAATAATAATCATAAAAAAGAAATTGAGACAAATAATTTCGCAATTGTGTCGCAGAATTTATGCCTATTGTAACAAAGTTTATGTATTTTTTTTTCTTTTTCCGTAAGACTTTCATATGTTTTCTTCGCATAGGGCCATCTAAAATACGACCATAAGATATTGTAATAAATTTTTGATAATGATACTTAGTGTTGTGTCAAGATTAATTTATAAATTAGCTGGATAAAGATGAGATAAAAGTATGTAAATTAATCTTAGATAGGATAAAAATGATTTTGCTTTAAGTATATTTAGATAAAAGATATAATTATGACGATTTATTTAGATGATTGTGTAGATAATATATTTAAGACTGCTTATGTAAACACAGTTATACAAGAAATATAAGTTACAAAAAAGATACAATAATATATATATTCATATTTTTATCGCTTTCTTGATAACTTTAAGTATTTCAATGTGCTATGATTCTAAATCAAAGTTATCTGAAAATTATTTTAAATAAATAATATAGTAAAGGTAGTACTTTTTGTATTTATTTGTAAGATGCATATATAAAGATAATACATAATTTTATTATTTATATGTAGATAAGATAACGCCATAGTTCTTCCATTTAAGTTTATTTAGATAACACACAGCAAACTTTGATGATAGTAAACAATGTGATTGCACAAGTAATTTTTCAAATTAATAAATTTTTAAAAGTATACAATTCAAAGCATGAGTATATATATGTCACTTTTTTTTATACTTTAATCAGAAAAGAAGATATATAATAGTCAATTTTAATTTGTAATTTAATTCATATTCTCTCTGCTCTCTCTCTTTTCAAATTTTGATTCCAATATGTATATTGCATAATTCTATAAGTTTATTCTATATGCAATTAATAAACATTAATGTGCTTATGTGTATGTATACGAATATATATCATTATATAATTTTTATATTTAAAAATGCAATTAAATATATTGAACAATACACATTATAATAAATAAATCAAGTCACTTTTACGTTGCATTTTAATAATTAAATCTAAAAAAAAATTATTGAATGACTGAATATTTTTCGACCGATATGCATATAAACTAATTAATATTTATTTAATTAATTACACAACGTTTCATATAATTTTAGGCCTTCTCAAGTGTTACTGTTAAGTTTGCAAAGGTCCAAAATTATATGGTCGAAACACCGTGGTCAAAACAATGTGCGATTAATTAAATAAACATCAATTGACGAATGTCGGTTGAAAAATATTTGGTTTATTAATTTATGACAGTCGAAAATTAAGAATTCTTCTCAGTATATTATATTTAACGTTTACATTCCATATATATATATATATATATATATATATATATATGTATATTATATATGAATATATATAACGGTAGAGTTTGCCAAAATTATTGAGCAATAGAAAAAATGAAAGCGAATAATTTAATATGCAACATAAATGCAACATACCTAATTTTCTAATATTTTGTATTTATTATATATTTATAATATACGTTCTTCGCAGAAATGATAATCATTGTGCGACAGGCGTTAATGAGACAAAATAACAAAAAGATTTACAAACCACAAGAATTACCTTTGAGATAACTTTTTCCAAGAACTTGTTATATTTGGTTGCTGCATAACGAAATTGCTGGCACACGCATCGAAAGTTGATGATATCCTCCATAGTGATAACATTACAGCCGAGAATGATGGTTATTATCTCCTCTGGTAAGCACGTTATCTTATAATCAGACATTATGAGAAACAAAACACAAAAAAGGAATGTAAATTAAAGTGATTGCAATAAACTATTCGCGTAATTAATTCCTTGCTTTTCGCAGTACACGAAATGAGTTTGCCGATTACAAAGAGCACAGATGTGTGTTTGATGTATACGAGAGACGTTTTCTACGATACAGACGGTCTGTTCTTTATTATGAAATGTGACCCCAAATTTTAAAGCCTTTTTGCTTGTTTTCACTAAGATATAGGTATAAGAACTTGCCACAGCATGCGCAGAAAATGTAATTAAGAACTAGTAAAAATTACCACTTTTTCCTGTGCTCTTGAAAGATAGAACGTGGTAAATAATTTATTATTAATTATTCTTTATTATTATTATTTATTTATGTATTGTTCTCTATTTAAGTTTAATTAAAAATAATATTTTTCCAAATTTATCAGTTATTTCAAATCTTACTAATTTCCATGTATTTGTATTATTTATTATTTAAGCTTAATTAAAATAATTTATTTCAAGTTATCATTTATTTTATTAAATTTTACCAACTTTTATGTATTATATTTTACAATTTACAACTCCAGTGCAGTGCATTATGAAATGTTCTCGATAAGAGAGAAAGGGAAAGAGAGAGATTTACATTTTGCATTTTTCAAATCTTAACAGATAAAATTCTCAGCTAAAATAAAATTTCCGACTTACAATACGAATATTTAATAAATAATGCATGTACAAATAGTTTATATAAGAATATTCTACAATTTTATGTAGTTTTATTTGCGCGTATATATAGGGTGTATATATTTTAATAATTCAAACTTTATAAGAATATAAAACTTCATGGATTAAATACTAACTCAAAATGAACAGACTATGCGAACTCAACGCAGATGTTTGTGAATAAATCTCAAATCGAGATTTTAATTTCTATGTTTTCTTTTGATTTCCCTACAAAGATGTAGAAAAGCAAAATATATCGGTCTAAAAGTCGCTGAATCGGAAACTGAGGAATTAAAATTGAGATTCTAAAATTGAGATGAATTTGCAACATCTGAAATTATGCTAATATCATACAAAATCTAATATCATTTATAAGCTTTTATCGTCTCCTTCAATACAAAAGAATTATGTATATTTGAAAATATAAAAATTATTGTCTTTTATTAACGTACCTATTTATACTTATACAAATGCAACACACTATCGATTATATAAGTTTCAAAATAATAGATATTAATAGATGGCAAATTTATTACGTCATATTTTGCATATATTGAAAGTGTTAAAAAAAGTTATCAAATTAGTTAATTTTTTATTTTTATTTTTTTTTTTATTTATTAATTCTTTAGCACCAATTCAAATTGTTGCTGTCACAAAATTTTCTTACTTTATTATTTATATTAATTAATACAATAAATATCGCAGAAAGATAATAGCTATATTTTATTCATCGTTGAATTTCAATTGTCGAACATGTATGTATATATGTATATGTCAATAACATTCTATTATTAATTTAAAGTTATTATGTTGGTCCGAATCTGTAGATTGATCTGTAGGATTATATATTATGATAATTTCTACAGCATATTTCACGTTTCATTTATATGTTCTACTAATTAAAATAAGACAGAAACTGTAAAATTTTTACTTTGATTGATTTTTGTGAATAAATGCCTCAATAAACACTTAAAACACGTAAAATTATAGAAAATTGTAAATTATACATAATTGTTATCTGAAAATATCTCACAAAGCTCTTTATTTTTACAATGGTGCATGTTATATACTAATATGCGATTATGTTAGTGCGCGTATGTTTTTACATTATACAATTCACTTCGACTAAGTCCAATTTGTTTATTTTATGTCCTATTATAAACCTTTCAACTAAAATTTCTATTGTGTGCGTAATCTAAAAAAGTTAATTAAACATGAATAAAGATTAAATGTAAACAAGGATTTAATTATAAATTAAAAAATGAAAGATGTACATTTCTCTTCTTTCTATACACATATAATGTAATTTATTAATTGCTTCTCAATTTACAAGCATATTAATAACTTAAAATTAATAGATGTAATAAATAAGTTTCAACCTGTGCAGTTCTTATTGTGGTGACGCAATCTTTTTATAACGCTTGTAAATTGGTAGAAAATCATCAAGACAGTTCGGGAAATTCTCGTCTCTTATGTAAAAACATCTTGCATTTTTTAAATTATTCGTGACGCTGTAAACAATTAAAATATTATCTTAATCATATGAAAATTTTTATAATAAAAAATTATATATGTACCATATGCGTATAATAAAAAAGAAAGATTATCGAGAAATGATGATAATGTCGAATCTAATATATCTATACTTACTGCTTTGGTTTCCAAAATATACAGCATTGTGAAAATTAAGTATCACTGCATCGCAACGTAGACCAAGTCTTCTAGCCACGCTATGAAGTATTGTATATACAATGATATCTTCACCAGATTTACTTTGTAAAACCTGTGCCAGGTATAATACAGAATAAAATTAATCAAAGCGAGAGAATATTAAAAACAACATATAACGTATACATATATGGCCCAAAATTATATATTATAATGTATAATAACTTACATAATCTATACACAAAACATTTGATATCTTCGGGTACGAAGTTACATACTCGAAAATTTAAAGTGCCAAATATATATTCTGAAGTGTATCCATAATCTGCGTACTTTCTGTTTTGTCCCAATGATTATCTTCGATATTGTTGGTTTTCCAATAAGAAAAAGTTTTATTAGACGTGGAGAATATCGAATGGTTCGGATGCTTTTCTCTGAGACGATTCCGTACTTCTTGTGCGATTGTATCCAATGATGCACTTACATTCGTGTAACATACATCTTCTCGAACTTGAATATATTTTGACATGAAAGTACACGTTTCTTCCAAAAGTTGTTTTTTTTTAGTTTGTCTTTATATCTGTCCAACTCATTTCGTATCGAGGATAGCTTTTCATAGTGAGACATTTCTATATTGCAATATCTTTCAATTGATTTGCGATCAATTCTTCTAAAAAATTTATATATTGAATTATTAACTAATGAATAAATACATTAACTTGTAATAATAGTAGCGTTATAATATATATGAAGATCCTACTGTTGAAATTGTGTTAACCAGCATTTAATCTCCTCAATATAAAATGTATATTTCAGCGCAATTATAGGCTCACGTTCAGGATAAACTCGATTTAAACGATTTACATATTCATCGATATTACCACTGAATTCTTTACCTTATCATTGAATTTCAATACAGTATGAATTGAGTTATCGAAGTAATTTGATTTGATTTATTCTTGAAATAATAATCATAAAAAAGAATGTGAGACAAATAATTTCGCAATTGTATTGCAGAATTAATGCCTATTGTAACAAAGTTTAGGTTTTCTTTTTTTTCTTTTCCGTAAGACTTCATATTTTTTTTTGCATAGGGCCATCTAAAATACGACCATAAAATATTGTAATAAATTTTTGATAATGATACTTAGTGTTGTGTCAAGATTAATTTATAAATTAGCTGGATGAAGATGAGATAAAAGTATGTAAATTTATCTTAGATAGGATAAAGATGATTTTGTACTAAGTATATCTAGATAAAAGATATAATTATATGACGATTTATTTTATTTAATTGTTTAGATAATAATATTTAGGACTGCTTCTGTACACACAGTTATATAAGAAATATAAAGATACAAAAATATATGTATTCTATTTTCATTTATAAATTTTTATCGTTTACTGTCTGCTTTAAGTATTTTAATGTGCTATGATTCGAAACCAAAATTATATGAAAATTATTCTAGATAAATAATATAGTAAAGGTAGTACTTTTTTTATCTACTTGTAAATGCAGATATAAAGATAATACATATTTTTATTATCTATTTGCAAATAAGATGACGCCACAGTTCTGTGTATAGATTAAGTTTTTTTTTAATATTTTGTAGAACAATTTTTTCGAAAGCATATTTACAAACAATGTCGACTGTGCTTATATATGTCACTTGGCATGTTTTTACTTTTATAAAGATTTTATTGTGATTTTAATGCTATTATATGAAAAAGGACCGATAGAAACATATCAAATCTGTCTGTTTCTATCACGAATATATATCATATATATAATGTTTATATTTAAAAATGCAATTAAACTATATGAAGAATACACATTATAATAAATAAACAAAGTTACTTTTATGTTGTATTTTTAATAATTAAATCTAAAAAAAAATTATTGAATGACTGAATATTCTTCGACCGATATATATATAGGCTAATTAATATATATTTAATTAATTACACAACGTTTCATATAATTTTTGGCCTTCTCAAGTGTTACCGTTAAATGTGCGAAAGACCAAAATTATATGGTTCAAACACCGTGGACGAAACGTGTGTGATTAATTAAATATACATCAATTGACGAATGTCGGTTGAAGAATATTTGGTCTTAATTTTTGACAGCCGAAAATTAAGAATTCTTATCAGTATATTATATTTAACGTTTACATTCTATATATATATATATATGTATATGTATATTATATATCTATATATTGTATATAACGGTAGAGTTTGCCAAATTATTGAGCAATAGAAAAAATGAAATCGAATAATTTAATATGCAACATAAATGCAACATACCTAATTTTTCTAATATTTGTATTTATTATATATTTATAATATACGTTCTTCGCAAAAGTGATATACATTGTGCGACAGGCGTTAATGAGACAAAATAACAAAAAGATTTACAAATCACAAGAATTACCTCTGAAATAACTTTTTTCCAAGAACTTGTTATATGTGGTTGCTGCATAACGAAATTGCTGGCACACGCATCGAAAGTTGATGATATCCTCCATAGTGATAACATTAGAGCCGAGAATGATGGTTATTATCTCTTCTGGTAAGCACGTTATCTTATAATCAGACATTATGAGAAACAAAACACAAAAAAGGAATGTAAATTAAAGTGATTGCAATAAACTATTCGCGTAATTAATTCCTTGCTTTTCGCAGTACACGAAATGAGTGTGCCGATTACAAAGAGCACAGATGTGTGTTTGATGTATACGAGAGACGTTTTCCACGATACAGACGGTCTGTTCTTTATTATGAAATGTGACCCCAAATTTTAAAGCTTTTGCTTGTTTCACTAAGATATAGGTATAAGAACTTGTCACAGCATGCGCAGAAAATGTAATTAAGAACTAGCCAAATTTATTATTTTTCTTATGCGCTTGAAAGATAGAACGTGGTAAATAATTTATTTATTAATTATTCTTATTATTACTATTTATTTATGTATTGTTCTCTATTTAAGTTTAATTAAAATAATATATTTTTCCAAATTTATCAGTTATTTCAAATCTTACTAATTTCCATGTATTTGTATTATTTATTATTTAAGCTTAATCAAAATAATTTATTTCAAGTTATCATTTATTTTAATTTTACCAACTTTTATGTTTCATATTTTACAATTTACAATTCCAGTGCTGTGCATTATGAAATGTTCTCGATAAGAGAGAAAGGGAAAGAGAGAGATTTACATTTTGCATTTTTCAAATCTTAACAGATAAAATTCTCAGCTAAAATAAAATTTCCGACTTACAATACGAATATTTAATAAATAATGCATGTACAAATAGTTTATATAAGAATATTCTACAATTTTATGTAGTTTTATTTGCGCGTATATATAGGGTGTATATATTTTAATAATTCAAACTTTATAAGAATATAAAACTTCATGGATTAAATACTAACTCAAAATGAACAGACTATGCGAACTCAACGCAGATGTTTGTGAATAAATCTCAATTCGAGATTTTAATCCTATGTTTTCTTTTGATTTCCCTACAAAGATGTAGAAAAGCAAAATATATCGGTCCAAAAGTCGCTGAATCGGAAACTGAGGAATTAAAATTGAGATTCTAAAATTGAGATGAATTTGCAAAATCTGAAATTATGCTAATATCATACAAAATCTAATATCAATTATAAGTTTTATCGTCTTCTTCAATACAAAAGAATTGTGTATATTTGAAAATATAAAAATCATTGTCTTTTATTAACATATCTATTTATACTTATACAAATGCAACACACTATCGATTATATAAGTTTCAAAATAATAGATATTAATAGATGGTAAATTTATTACGTCATATTTTGCATATATTGAAAGTGTTAAAAAAAATTATGAAACTAATTAATTTTTTATTTTAAGATTTATTAATTTTTCTGCACCAATTCAAATTGTTGCAGTCACAAAATTTTCTTATTTTATTATTTATATTATCTAATACAATAAATATCGCAGAAAGAATATAGATATATTTTATTCATCGTTGATTCTCAATTGTCGAACATGTATGTATATATGTATGTGTCGATAACATCCTATTATCTATTATGTTGGTCCGAATCTGTAGATTGATCTGTAGGTGGATTAGATATTATGATAATTTCCATAGCATATTTCACGTTTTAATTATGTGTTCTACTATTTAAAATAAGACAGTAAAATTTTTACTTTGATTGATTTTTTTGTGAATAAATGCCTCAATAAACACTTAATACACGTTAAATTATAGAAAATTGTAAATTATACATAATTGTTATCTGAAAAAATCTCACAATGCTCTTTATTTTTACAATGGTATATGTTATACTAATATGCGATTATGTTAGCGCGCGGATGTTTTTTTACACATTACAATACACTTGGATCAATCCCAATTGAATATTTTATGTTCCTTCATGAACCATCCAACTAAAGTTTTATCATGTTCAACATCTGAAAAAGCAATTAAACATGAATAAAGATTAAATGTAAACAAGGATCTAATTATAAATAAAGAAATGAGAGATGTACATTTCTCTTTTTTCTGTACACATATAATGTAATTTATTAATTGCTTGTCCATTTACAAGCATATTAATAATTTAAAATTAATAGATGTAATAAATAAGTTTTAACCTGTTCAGTTCTTATTTCGATGACATCATGTGTTTCACAAAACTCGTAATAGTGAGATAATTCATGAAGACAATTCGGGAAATTTTCGTCTTTATGGAAAAACATCGTATATTTTCTAAATTATTCGTGACGCTGTAAACAATTAAAATATTACCTTAATCATATGAAAATTTTTATAATAAAGAAATTATATGTATGCGTATAATAAAAAAAGAAAGATTATCGAGAAATAATGATAATGTCGATTCTAATATATATCTATACTTACATTTCTGGTTTCCAAAATATATATTCGAGAAAAATAGCTAGTACATCTCAACGTAGACCAAGTCTTCTAGCCACACTATGAAATATTGTATATACAATGATATCTTGACCAACTTTACTTTGTAAAACCTGTGCCAGGTATAATACAGGACAAATTGATCAAAGCGAGAGAATATTAAAAACAACATATAACGTATACATATATGGCCCATAATTATATGTATTATAATCTTTAATAACTTACATAATCTATACACAAACATTTGATATCTTCGTGTAACAAGATACTCGAAAGTTTCAAAGTGCCAAATATATATTCTGAAGTGTATCCATAATCTGCGTACTTTTGTTTCGTCCCAATGATTATCTTCAATATTGTTGATTTTCCAATAAGAAAAAGTTTCATCAGACGTGGAGAATATCGAATGGTTCGGATGCTCACTTTGACACAATTCAATACCTGTTGTGCGATTGTATCCAATGATGCACTTACATTCGTGTAACATACATCTTTTCGAACTTGAATATATTTTGACACGAAAGTACAGGTTTCTTCCAAAAGCTGTTCTCTTTCAGGTTTTTTATATCTGTCCAACTCATTTCTTATCGAAGATAGCTTTTCATAGTGAGACATTTTATTTTGCAATAACTTTTGATTGATTTGCGATCCCTAAAAAATGTATATTGAAGTATTAATGAATAAATACATTAAATTGTAATAATAGTAGCATTATAATATATATATAAAAATCTACCGTGGACATTGTGTTAACAAGCATTTAATCTCCTCAATATAAAACATATATTCAGCAACATCTATAGGCTCATGTGCACGTTTAGGATGAAATAGATTTACAGATTACATATTTATCGATATTACCACTGAATTCCCTGACATCTTCGAAATTCAATACTTTATGGATTGAGTCATCGAAGTAATATTCATTTGATCTA